ACTAACCTTATACCAACTGGCGCTAGAGCAGAACAGAAATGCATTACACAGACCAGCGTTGGACTAAAACGAGGATGCCTTTGTCATGTTTTCACGAGTACTCTCAATCGTATACTGACTGTTTTGGCTTCCAAACACATAAAGCCGTTTTCACCGAATCGGTAACTTAGAAAGTAGTATGCTCCAGCTCCACGCATACGAAAGCCCAAGGTTGACTGTAACTGTTACGATCCACAAGACGGGCTACGTTCGAGATATCAGGTCCAAAACTGGACCTCTGACTAGAAACGACGCAGACATAAACAAAGTAAAACAGGATAAAGGTAACCTCCTGCAGCAGTCAGGTTTAAAAACTTGTCAGAGACACTAGGTGTGCCTACCAGAGACTCTTTGCTTTGGCACTCAAGGATCGTAGACAGTCGTCTCCTGTAGATGGGATCCGATAGGGAGCGGGAAAAGGAATCATCCTGAGCGTCAAGAAGCGCAACGGGTTTGGAACTGTTAGTGTTTGGTGGTTGGTTCTCAATGTCTTCTTCTTCCTCCTCCTTCTCCTCCTCCTGAGACAAAAGTGTCGCTGCTGTTGGAAATGTTGGCTAGAAAAAGGAAAGACGCTTCTCGATGGTTTGTGGACGAACGAACAAGAATGGCACCTAATAAAAGCACAACCGCTGGTTTACCTTGTAACTTCTAGGCGAAGCATGAGAGTTTGTCACATCGGCATTCCTCTCAGACAGAACGCTGCAACGTGTCTCCACGTCCGCGACACTGGGCTTACTGCTGGAAGACTCGGTCAGAGAGGGGATGGAGGAGGCCATCGTCGCATCGGGACTCTCCAACACTGATGTCGTCATTGAAGGAGGTGAACGCAGGAGACCACAGGTGTCAGCACTCTGCACATTCCTGGAGCTCGGTGGTCGACAGCCGGCAGCGGCGGCTGCGGTGGTGTCCTGCTGTGAAAAGTCCTCAAAGGCTTCTTCTAGATGACGAAGTTCCTCAGCGTTAAAGCGCACCGCATGTTCCACAGCTTCCTGTTCCTCCAAGGATATTCCTTTGCTGTCGCCGCCACCGACGCCACCATCAGCGACCTCCGATGGGGTGGACTTTGGTAACTTCTGTTGCGTCTGTTGATCTCCTACTGCCCCGCTGGATGTACTGTACTCAAGCAGACAAGCAGAAAGGTCTACAAGGACAGACATGAAGGGAACCGCGTAGCCACTTACCCTCTAAGTTAAGCAGTTGCATAGACTCATCAATACCACCACTACTGACGGCCGGCGAACTTAAGCGCTGCGCCGAGGGATCGCTACTGCGGACCGACAACGATTGGTTCGTAATGACCGTATAGGTTGCGGCCGCACGCAAGGGACTGGAAGAGGACTTTTGGGCCACTGCTTTGATAGCTGTGGATTGAGCTTTGGGCAGCATGAAGTCGAGAAAGTTGCCTACGACAGAGGGTGAAGCAAAAGAAGCCGAGGCCCGAGGACTCGCCACAGGCGAGGCGTATTTAGGTTCCATTCTAGAAAAGAGCAGAAACACGGAAAGATATTTTGCGGGTGTTTGGATTTACAAACCGGGCTACTCAAAGCCACAAGGAAAAAAACAACGGAAGGGCTGATAGGCACATCACAAACTTCAAGATGCGTCGGTCCATATCAGAATCGTAAAGCCAAACACCCGTCCCGGCTGAGACCTTAGGCCAGGTGGTGTTAAAATGCCCGCCGTCTTGCCGGGGGAAGGGTTACACATGGGGTTAAGAATAGTCTGAGTCAGATGTTGCAGTCTCTCGTCATTCTTTGAGTCTAGTATACTTTTCGGGCCTGTTGGAGTGATTTTAGCACAGGATGGAGCACTTATCAGGCAAAGAGGTGCAAGCGTTACTGATGTGGAAGGAAATTTAACTATCAAGCTCGAAGGTCTTAATACTGGACTGTTTAATTTGGACATATTTTTAAGCTACGGTTCACAAGTTACAGAATCCAAAATCCCCGACACAGAGGTTTTTTACGTTCAATACACAGAGTAATATGCCGCCGACCCTCATAATGAACACATGCTCGAACGTTTCGTCAAGAAACGATATCATGACCGCGTTTAATGATATCTACCGGCTAATAAGGTTAAAATTAATATTTCTATAGTGGTTATAAAAAATTATAAGAGTTTATGTTCCATGTATTTATTTTTAAATAGCATACATCATAATGACCAACTTCTTAGTTTCATATGTTACACTGCTAAAATAGAGGTCAGCGCCTGTTTAAAATGGTCTGCATGGGGATCTAACCTAAACGCAGACTTTAAACCGAGCAACCACCGTTTGAGGCAGCGACAT